TAACAGTTACCAGGATTAATTGTGATGGTCATAATTGTAATTGTAGATGTGTAACTAAAAGGGGGGAGTAGTTAATCGTTCATTTCTGGAACAGATGATGTCAGGACCATCAAGAAGGAAAAGCATGAATGGAGAGTGAGATCCTACCTAGAAAAGTAGTGACAGCAGAGAGAGTGGCAGAGGCGGAGGCATGGAAAGACAGAGTAGCTGCAGGCTCTAGGCCCACAGACTGAGTAAGGCTGTGTGCCTGTGGACAGAAGGCTGGCTTGAAGAATGTTCCCTTTGGACATTTAAATGAATACATATTTTTTCTTTTGTATGTATAAAACGAATATTTTTACTTCATTTGTGAAATATAAGATGTAAATAAAGAGCCACAGAAAGAAAGCAGGATAAATGTTGTTGTAGGAAGGACATCGTAATCATTGAGATGAAACAAGGTGTATAATTTCATTTGTTGAATGTAAAGCTGATGATCTTATCTGTAAAACTTCACTAAATTCACAATAAAAAGTTAAACAAAATAAAAAGGTATTTGCAATGAAAAAATAGTGTGTTCTATCTTAGCAGCTAGAACCACTCCTGCACTGTATACTCTCTCCCATTTTCTATACATGAAATCTACCAAGTAAGAATATGAGGCACAACACACATAGCAAATTTTACCTCATTGTCTGAATTTTTAACAAACAAAGCAGATGGCTTCCTGTACTGGGTTTTATTTGTGATTCAAACAGTCTTTCACATGGGGTCAAATGATATTTTGTGGGTCAGAATAGTAATTACGTATTATCAGAAGACTAAGGATATTCTTCAAATAATCCCCAAGATTTTCTTATAACACCCCTAACTAAAAAAATCCATAATGCTTTTAATATTCAGTAAGATTTTAAGACGTGAAACTAGAGAACTAAGATGGGCTTGACCCAAGCCATGGTATTTCAAGTGCCTCACATGAATGCAAAAAAGCTGGACATGAATATGGTAAACCAAAGAAGAACTGATGCAGTTGAATTATGATATAGGCAAAGAATACTGAATATACCATGAATTTCCAGAAGAATAAGCTTATTTGCCTCAGAAGAAGTACAGCTAGAATACTCCTTAGAAGTTATGGTAAGATCTCATGTCATGTACTTTGGATAATTACCAGGAGGGATCAATTCCAGGAGGGCATCCTACTTGGTAGAGGGTCAGCGAAAGTAGCCCTGGCAAGGTAGTGGATTACGTGTTGGGCTGCTAACTACAAGGCCAGCAGTTTAAAATCCACCAGCTGCTTCATGGGGGAAAGATGAGAGAGTTTCTACTCCCATAAAGACTTACAGCCTCAGAAACCCTTTACAGGGTTACTATGAGTTGGAACCACTTCCATGGCACACCACCACTACCACCACTAGAGTGTCAGAAAAAAAGAGAAGACCCTTAATGAGATGGGCTGACACAGTGAGCTCAAAATAGCAATGACTGTGAGGATGGCCCAAGACCAGATCGTGTTTCATTCTGTTGCATGTGGCGTCACTGTGAGTCAGTACTGACTTGACAGCACCAAACAATTTTTTTAAAAAATATTTTATTTTGCCCAGTTTGTCCTTATTTCTCTATGAAATCATGAGATGTACAGGGAGAAAATCTTTTCAATAACAGAAAGAGGAAACTGTAATATTTGTTAGAATAAATGGTTGAGGCAATTCTTGGGATCAGGCAACTCTGAGGAGGTATGCTAACCTACATAAGTAACACTGTTTTAGCATGAGGCCACTTGGATTCATTCTGCCAAGTAATTAAGGGTACTGTCTTAGGCTAAACATCTTTGGTTTTGAACACTTTCATTAAAACCAGTAGCTCACAATGGGGCTAGAATACACCTGCTTTACTCTGGGCTTCATGCTTTTATTCCTGCTCTGAAAAATAATCTAGGAATTTTGAATTAGTGTTGTTAGAATTACTTTGTTCAGCTTCTTTGAAAATTACACATATTTTATAGAATTCTCGGAGTCAGGGTTATCCCAACCCCTTGGGGCTTCCTACCTATTATTTAACTATATGGCAAGATCTCTTATGAAGGTAGATCTTGAAAGTCTAGCTTCAAGCTTCAATTAATTACCAAAATTAATAAGAAATAGCTTTAACTTTCAGATACTTTCTGAAAATATAAAAAAAGTAATGCTTTAAGAACAAAGAAGCATAAAAACGCAATAGTTTACAATACATAAAATATATTA